GTTTAGTCCATTTCTATATCCTTCCCTTCAAGGTTCAGGGGTCCAGGATTATCTTCTGTATCTGTGTTAAATGGTTCCCTTTTTCTTGTTGAAGAGGGTCTGTGCAGTCTTTCTGCCTATTCTGCCATATTACCAGAACTCCTGTTTACATAGTTTTTAAAAATGCAAAACACCACTGTATTTAGGGATACTTAACTTTGTGGTAAAATGTTTTAAGAAACTCATAAAAAGTTTAGAGAAGGTACACAGGATCCATGTGTGTGGCAAGGTTTTCTTACAATGTTTAGCAGGTACACGGATATACATTTATATTTAACTTTTGAATGATGAAATAGTTCCATTTTCAAACACCCATGGCAAAAAAAAAAGTGGGTGCATTATGATCCTGTGTGAAAATGCAAATGTAAGAACACACATCTGCCCTCCCAAAGGAGCACCTCTAGGTGTGAACTTTGAAACCACTGACTGGATCCAAACACTGTGTCCTGGTGAAAAGGGGCATCACCCTGCCCACGAAGGACAGACTAGTATGACCACTTCCATCTCAGCCCAAACCAGTCCTCAGTCTAACACCTCTGGCTCCCCAGCCAGGCTGTCCATCAGAACTGCCTGAGAAGCTCTGGGAAATACCATTGGCCAGGCTCCCCTGCCTGCCTGCCCCAGAATCCAGGATGAGGCAGCTCTTTCTAGTTCCCAAGTGATGTTAATGTGCAGCCAAGGTTGGGAACCACAGGGTCCAAAGTCCAATTTGCTTAACAATTTAGGAATCCAGGGAAGTCCTAGTGAGAGCCCAAAACTGAGGAAGGGGTTGCCACAGCCTCGGAAAGTTCCAGACTCTGGGCCTCAGCACTGAAGGGGGGCTGAGGAGGTGGGGGCTGCCCATTCTAGGGCATTCCAAGTATCCACGTGGATATATGTTGAGCTAAATGAGTTAACACACATCAATCACACAGAACAATGCCTGGCACAGATAGTAAGCATCAACCTTAGGTATTTCTTCAAATAAAGAAATAGAGGGAAAGTGGTCAATAAAACATTACAGTAAGGAGGACCATGTTTGCTCATAAGGCTCACAGACCCACATAATGGAAACACAAGCTTAAACCTCAGTCACTGTGGCTTGTGCACAATCTTTTGAAATCTAACCTGATTTGACAGGATTAGGTCAAACATCAAGAAGCACATTAAGAGCTAGGAGTAGAAAAATAACTTTGGAGGGTAAGATGGAAAAGTTGAGGGGAGAAACTAATGTTTATGTGTCACTTTACGTACAGGTGTGCACTGCTTAACATCCTTCCAGCAACGTCTGATATACACTGGGTCCCATAAGGTTATAATTGTTAATGTTATTTGCTGTCGAGTTGCACCCGACTCATAGTGACCCCTCCTTGGGTTTCCGAGGCAGTATCACTACAGAAGTAGATTGCCCAACCTTCCTTCTGA